GTAGCGGCGACTCGACGACCAGCCGTCCCCGTCTGCCGTCACGGCGTCTCCCCGACCCCGACGGCCTCTTGCTCGTGCCTCACAGTCTCGACTCTCGACTCACCTCTCTCACCCTCCATCTCTCCCAGTCTACCAACGCTACTCGGCGCCTCCTCCCACAGACCTTCTCTCCCGTCGACAGCCACCACTCGTCGCCGCCCATACCGAACCGAATTATAGCTCGGTTCGAATTCGGTTGGGGTAGTGGCGATTTCGGAAAATCGGCATATACTAGTTCGGTACGGTTTGAACCGAACCGACCGAATGCCCACCCCTACTTACATCCCCCCCCCCCCCCCCAAAGACCTCTCTTACTCAAGGGACTTTTATGAGAGGAGATAGTGTGCCTCTCCGCAATTCGATAGACCTCAGCTATTATCTCACATGTGTGGCAACCAATCTGTCATTGAGATGAGTGTGCAGGATGGGAATTGGTGTTGGAGAGATAACGACTCACATCTGAATGCTTCACCTTCCTACAATTTTTCATCCTATCGACCATCACTTTCCCCACACGAGACTAAGAAAGAGAAGTCAATATAACTTTTGCTCTAGTCCATGAGATAGAGAGCCCCTGTTTGTGAAAACTATAGGTGTGATACTACAAGCGGCAATGTGAGTTGAGGCTTGAAAGTTTGAGTCCTTTTTTGAAGTAGGAGTACCACCATCCAGTCCATCATTTTCAACCAGTTTTTTACACTCTCTTTGTACATATCTTGCATGTCTTGGTTTCACTAGTGAACAAGGCACCAACTTTGGTTTGTGTTTCACATTAAGGTGGATGTGAAATTTATTTTCTCCAATCGACATTGAAGTGCTATTTGTATCGCTGAATACGATCTATAATGCTTACCATTGTGAAGGTCCAACAAGTTTTACCGATTTGAGTAGGTTTGTTTACGGACAAGCAAACAGTTAAGTCTGAGCGAGTTTGATTGGAGCCACATTGTACACTTTTTACCCCTATCTTTGTCGTTGTGCTTGTGTAGCATCATCCTTGTAGCCATTGTACGCTATGTTTGGTCATGTTTGAGTGTGTTTCAAGCTCTAGCAGGTAAATTGGCGAAAGGATCAAAAGTCGGACGAAAATAAGCCAAAATGGGACTAGGTAACGGAAATGTCCAGTTTCATAGTTAAGGGAAAATCTTCATGGTCTCATGGTGTGAAGATTAACCCAATAACATGAATGTTGCGAGTCTCTAGGAGGCTCGGGACATCTCGTAGGCATTGCATGGATCACAGGCGCAGGGCGTGAAGAATTCAACCAAACTGTGAAGTGTGCAAGTGAAACCGAGCATTTTCTATCGACATCACGGTTTCACTGCAGAGGATATTGATGAACAAGAGGATATTGGAGGTGAATTGAAGCTATCCAACACCAAGAAAGCTTGATTCCATTTTCAAGACCATCCCAAACAACCAAGGAAGAGAAGTTTCTCATCATTATGGTGGTTATCTTTTATTTGGTTATGTTTCTCAGTCTAGTCATGGAGTAATCCTCCTAATCACGTGGATGATGTAGAACCCTAGTTTGTTATGTTGTATTTGAATGATTGTGAACCCTATGTGTTGACTTGGTTATTATTCATGAAAATTGGAGGTTTTTTTATCACTTCTCCCAATTTGAGGCTAATTAACCTTGGTGAGAGAATATGTCCTTAAGGTTAATTTAGAGCATTGCCTAATCAATGATTTGGGGCCAATGAACGAGTATGATTAGACTCTTAGAGCCGTTCTGAGTCTTTACCCATTGTGGAGTGGATTTGCTTGCCCCAATTGCATAGGTCGGTAGTTTGGCATGCTTCTCTGAGAAGTGAAATTGGGTGGGATATGAAAACTCGAATAGGGATTCATATCTAGCTTCGAGCTCCTACGGTTTATGCTAAGTGTGAATCATTCTAGGGTATCACAACATAGGCTCAACATAGGACTAGGGGGAAATCGGCCAAGCAAAGTTTCCTCAATTTTAATTTATTTTTAACTTATTTGCATTCTTGTTTATTTTATTAGTTAAAACAACAAACCGATCGATGTACATAGACCGCCGAGACTGCTAATTCAAAAAATACTTGCTCTATACTACACGTCTACACTTGATTGAAGATTGCATTTGGTCTTCGATTGGGGTAGGTACAGCTAGTAGAGAATCAGTGGGTTACGCTTTAATCCAAATGGGTTATAAAATTGAACAAGCACCTTATCACACCCTCCAAAGCGAAGACTGACCCCTCAGTAAATTGCAATAGGTCATCAGCAAAACGCAAATGCGTTAGACATATTGATTTGCACTAAGGTGGAAAGGAAGCCATCTGTTTTGAGAAACCCTATTTAACAGTTGAGTTAACACCTCTATTGCATAAGGATAGGAATTGGTTCCTGGTTAAACCAGAAACCATACAATATAAACCAGTCTGATTAAGACCGTGGACTGGATTACCACAATACAATTTGATTTACATTCTCTGCGGTGATAATAAAATCCCCTGATTTGATATGATTTCAATAGCAAAACCATATCCCATTACCCAAACCCCAAAATCCAGTGAAGTCCAGCTCTTCTCCCATAGAAAGCCCTTGTTACATAGTTTAGCCCAACCTACTCAAACAACCCAATCAGCAGTCTACACTACATAGGCTCTTAAACCTTCTCTAACCGCATGACTTCTCGGCTCCCTCTCATCGGATCCCCTTCACCACCAATTGAAACCCGAACCTGCATACGCAACACTTTGGGATGGCAGTAGAACCCAAATCTGCGAGTACCCGACCCGACCCAACCCACTCAACGCGGGTAAAACCCCCTTTGACGGATTGCGGGACGGGTTCGGGTTTAAACCCGCTATACTTTTTGCAGGCTGGGTTGGATTTGGATTTACCCATATCCAATCCGTAGGTACCCGCACTCAAGTCCATACCCCTCATGACCCACAGAAACCTTAACTAATTAACTAAAATTTCTAAACTAATTCCTCACACGTTCAATTAATCATATTGTTTGTGGATGTTTATCTTTAATATTGAACAATTAGTATTAATGATTTGTGAGTTAGTGTGTATGTAGTATACAATATTAGTGAAAACTAATGTAATTGCATCTTTGTACATGAAACCATGGGTACCCATGAACCCGCGGGTACCCAGCGGGTTGGGTTGGTTTTGAGTTTTCCAAATCCAGTGGGTTTTACCCCAGGTTTTTTGGTGGATAAATCCATGGGTTTGGGTTTGGTATAACCCGCCCCAACCCGACCCATTGCCATTCCTAGCAACACCGACTAGATTCTAGTTCAACGGTTGTTCGACGAAGAGAATCAGGGTGAACACCCTCCACTTCTCGACTCACGACTCACCCTCCCAAAGTCACCGTTGTCCTAGAAATACCCTCCCTCTAGCTCTCTCATCATCGACGATGAAGGTCCACTAGATTTAGTGAGTTGGTGATGGCTAGGTCGACTTTTGTGGGTTTGCGAGTCGGAATTGGGTCGACCATTCGAGAATGTATTGGGCCTGGTATGGGTGGATTAACTAGGCCTTATTATCTTGGGTTGGTCCCTCAATTACGACACCTAAAAATCCTTTCATAATGCAAAGCGACCGCTAAAAATCTAGTTGGGATTTCTAACCCATTAACTGATGACGGAATTACATCCACTAGAGTGATTAGTAATAATGGGGGTAGCTCCTCTCATGTGAATTTTGTTGTGGGTGCGGTGGGAGACGTCAAGTCGCCATACAGTCTAGGCAATAGTCTCATGTACTTTTGGAGTGTTCGCAAAAAGGAGTAGAGTGCACATTAGATTGGAAGAGTCGTCAATTTGCATTTCATCTTAATTCATTCTGGAAGCTTCAAGTACTTGGATCCAGGGAGGGAAGGTTCCATAATAACGATAGTTGTTCAGATTGGAGGATTAGTCCAGGTGTCAGAGCGCAATTGGAAGTCTTGCAAGCATAAGCAGTGACCTCGAGCTCTCATTATCGTCAACACGTGGAAACAATTCTTCTTCATTGATTCGAGTCGTGAAGTTGCTCGAACTTCAGGGATGGAGTTCTTCAAACGGGGGGAGGATTGATGCATTCATGCACTATGGCCTACGTTGTTATTTCATGAGTACTGTTTAGAGTCTTTCGGTTAATTAATTGTGGATTATTATTATTGTTATTTTAGGTTATTCGTGTAAGTTCTTGTTTAGGACTATTATTAACTAGTGTCTTATTGAGGTAGTGATTTTTGCTTATTGGGTTAGGATTAGTTTACCTTGTTCGGGAGGAAAAAGGTTTATGGGATTACTCCTACATATATGTTCTTTGTCTCTACGTTTTATTTATCAAAAAGAATAAATTAGTATTTTCGGTTTGTTTTAGTAGTAGTAGTAGTAGCAGCAGCAGTAACGCACGACGCATGAACCGATCATGTGTCACCAACCCTGTGATTTTTCACATAGACAAGAAGAAGAAGAAGAAGAAGAGTGGAGGATAGACGGCTGCAGTGGCAAGATTGAGATTCCTTTTAGAGTGAGATGAGAGAAACAAAGAGAGCAAGTAAGAATGGAGGAGATAGAACGAGATTCAGATTCCTCTTTTTCGTTGAGGGATATTATTTTGTTTTTAATTTTGACATTAACAATAGCGTATAGGGGGATATGATTTTTGGGTTTAAACTGGATCGAACAGAAATTGTTCGATCTAATTTCCGGTTACCATCCAATTTACAATTCGATTTCTGTTTACACCAAAATTCAAAACAAAAAACCAAATTAATCCAGACCAATTTAACCTGATTAAACCGTTTTCGACTCCTAAACCAGAGTTGCATATTGAAGAATACTTATTTTACTAATAAATTAAAATAGATCCAATGGTTCGCGTGCGCTGTACTACATCCGACGGTGTCTACTCCCAATTCTTCATTTTCGGCTCGCCCACTGTTTTTTGGGCTAATTTTGTCCCAATAAACAAAGCCGAGCGCGCAGCCTACCCCCAATTCTTCATCCTCCGTCAATCCGTTGAATACCAGGGAATCAGGAATCAGAAAAAGGTTTGTCATTCCTATCTGATCGCCTCTGTTCTTGGAAACTTAGTGGTGGCCTCATTTGGAGTTCATTGTGGTAGCTGGTTTGATCGGGTGTGAGTTCGTCTAAAGTTGGGTGCTTCGGCTGAGGTTTTTGATCATCGGGTTGGGGTATTTGTTGGGATGTGAATTGCTTTCTACGATTTATGTTAGATGGGCTCAGATCGTGTGTCAATTCTTGAAATTGGCGATCTGAAGGTGGAAGAAGCTGTTTGGCGTAATTGCGAGAGAGCGAAGTTTTGTGCGGGTACTTCTTCCTTCCATGTGTCTTGAGATTTCTGTTCCAACTTGCATCATCTTTTATCCGCGACCATCCAATTGAAAACAGAATAGTATTCGTTGAGGCTTAGTGATAGATTATTCGTCTCTGTAGGACTGGTTGAGTAATCTGTGTTTTATCTCTAAATACAGACAAGAAACTATTGTAGGCTTTGAGCAGGTAAGAGAACAAATGGTTATCTTTATTCCCTCTCTAAGTCAGGGCTAACCTTTTCATTCAACTTGCTGATTACACCACGATCTCGGATTGGGAACTTGGCTCTGGAGCTTCTAAAAGCTCCTATGTTGTGCTTTAGTGGTTTAGAGAAGGTTTATTATTAACAACATTGTGGAAGTTTTTCGATTGGATAGCTTCGAGCATTTAGGCATTGGAGAGCGAGAAACATGCTGTTTCTAGACTGTTTGGATTAGTGTTATTGTATCATAGTGATGCAGTTCGAATTTGTAGAGCTTTATTTTAAGGTTATATAAATGAGGGACAGACTACTTAATTCGTGAAACTGCTCTTTAACATATCACTTTTCTTTGGTGTCATGTCTGAGTTTGAGGTCCCTTGAATCTTTTAGCCCTTTGGTACTTACTTGTGGTCTGATTGTATTGTCGAAACAACTGTAGCTTTGCACCCCCAAGTAATTAGAGTAATGATTCTCGTTGCTAAATTTTGAATATGCTAAATGGTTGCACTCTGGGTTCTTTATTTATGTTTTTGGTATTCAATTCACAATCCGAAGTTAATTTGTTAAACTTAGGAACGGCATGGCAGCAGAAGATGTTGATCTGTCAAGTTTGGAATCTCAGATAAAGGAAACTAATGAGACATGGATGCAAGAAATGGAACGGCACCAATGCCAAGTTGATACATTGCAGGAAAAGCTTAAAGAGGTAAAGGCTTCTGTACAGGGGTCCGAGGAAGATGCCAACAAAGAGTTGAATGTTCTCTGGCGAAGAGTGAAAACCACTGCAAGATTACTGGCTTACTTGAAATCAAAGGCAAGAGTCATGTCCCTTACAGGTCTTGCTCCGACATCTTGTGGCATCAAAGAATTAGGTGTTGGGCTCGTCAACAAGGATGGTGTACCTCTCTCAAGTTGGTCTAATGATGTTGACCTATCATCCTTGGATATTACAGATGTAGAAGAAAGTTTATGTAGACTCAGTATCCGGCAAGGAAACTGTGATGAAAAAGATGAAGCTTATATTAGGGAAATGGTCAAATCCATAGAGATGGTAACTGGTGTAATGGAAACTCTTGTTAAAAGGGTTATATTTGCAGAATTAGAAACTGCAATGGAGAAAGAGAAAGTGTCCATAGGCCAGGAAGAAATTAGGAAGAAGGCAGTCCAAATTGATGACATGTCTTCAAAACTGGAAAAGATGGAAGATTTTGCTTTTGGGACGAAAGCTATTCTGGAGGACATGCAACAAAGGATAGAGAATTTGGTTGATGAGATATCTAGACAGACGCAGCGAGCTGAAGAAAATGAACAGGAGCTTTCTCGGGTGAAAAGGGACTTCGAGTCCTTGAAATCTTATGTCAGCAGTCTCATGAGCGTGAGGGAGACACTTCTGTCTTCGGAGCAGCAATTTCAGACAATAGAGAGGCTTTTCGAAAGGTTAGTGCAAAAATATTACATTAGCCTTCTTTCCCTTTTCTCAATCTTGATGTTAATGTCCTTGAGGTACCATTTGTCTCTTGCCTAGGTGGCTTCTAATTTATGTACGTATTTTTTGAATTTTGGCTGGCGAGTAGATTGGTTGCCAAGACAACACAATTAGAGGGTGAGAAAATGCAGAAGGAAACTGAAGTTCAGAAACTGATGGATGAAAACGTGAAGCTGACAGCTCTGCTGGACAAGAAAGAGGCTCAGTTACTGGCCATGAACGAACAATGCAAGGTAATGGCCCTCGGCTTCCCAAATGTATAAACGGAGTGTGGTTTATCTCATTCATAACTCTGGGGCACCTCTCCTAAACCACGGTCGCTGCGTGCTCCCGACTGGACTGCCAAACAAACCCTGAGAATTCAGTAGTTGAGTGACGGTGGTTGCTGGATGCGGATCACAGATCTGCCTCCTCGCACATATGTAACATTGTCGAGAGCGCACTGAACTTCTGTACTGCCCATTCTTGTGCCGCAGCAAAAGAAGGTGGACTAAAAAATGGAAGGTAGCAAAAAAAAAAAAAAACACTAAATGGTGTGTAAGGTCTCCATACTTGATTGTGAGTCTGATATTAAGTCGAATGTTTGATGAGTTTGACGCTTATTTTACGGCAGAGCTATTGTTGCGTTTCTCTTCAACCGTTCTGTTCTGTTCCTTTTTCACTTTGCTACCGGCTGCTGCTACCGGGCGGCAGGTTGTCCTATACGGTATCTACATTAGTGATGAACACAAGCAAACTTGAAGGTAATAGAGATTAGGTTTCATTCGGATAGTCATAACTATTCATATTTTGACGATAATAGCCCTTTTTAAAAAAATATAAAAAATAGTTACGAACCAATAGTGAAAGTTGAACTAAGGGTTAATGGTTATGGTTTATGTGACATTTTTTTGTCAAAATTATCTCAGGTGAAAAATGCCTTTGTGAAGTAATTAAATGAGAAAAAAGAACAAAAGGATCTAAAAAGCCATCCCCTTGACTTTCAACTTGGCTATCATGCTCACAGCCTATTTTGTGAGCAGGTGCTCACAAGGTGAGATGACCTTCCACATCCCATCAACCAAATTGGAGAGTTGAGATTTATTTGTTTTGTAAAAATATAAAATAAGAAAAAAATAAACTATCCAAACAACTTTTGTGAGTGTGGTCCCACAATTTAATAGATCCACTCACTTTTCTCTTTCATTTTTTTCTCTTTCTTCCTCTCTCTTCTCTTCGTCTTAGATAACAATATTGGTTCAAATGTTTTAAATAGTAAATACTTTTTTAATGCGTTTGAATACTTGTTCGATCCCTCTGAATACGTGTTCATTTGTGTGGAATATTTGTTGGGCTCAGATATAAGAATACTAGCTCGACACTTTTGAGTATTTGTTCGACATTTTGGAATACAATTCAAACGGGTCGAACCAGTATTCAAAAGCTTCCAACTAATATTGCCTTTGAATACTTCTTGGGCGCTTTTGAATACTGGTTCAACGCCTATGAATACGTATTCAAACGGGTCGAACGAATATTCAAAACCTTTCAACAAATATTCTCATCTCTGAAACCAACAAAAATTACAAACTAACGGACGCATATTAATAGATATCGAACAAGTATCCAAACGTCTCACAAATGTATTCAAAATATTGGAACAAATATTCTCATATCTGAAACGAAGAGAGAGGAAGAAAGGGAAAAGATGAAAGAGAAAAGTGAGTGGACATTAAATGAAAGAAATCTGGGACCAACCCACTAACAAGGTATCTACCTCTTCTACCTTTTTCTTACATAAGCCCATCTTAAAAGCAACTAATCCTAGCCCTCCAAATTACATAGGGTGATGTGGCCTCCAATCTCACCGTGTGAGCACCATAGACAAATTTCTTGACTTCTCATCTGGTTCGACCAAATAATAGGGGATGAATGGCGACAATGGTCGCTCATCCTCTTGCTCGATCTGGCCTCCCTTCACCTCCTGGACGACCCGAACGGCTACTTGGCAAAGGTTTCATCGGAGGAAGAGAAGTAGGAATTGTAAATCGAGTAACCGGAAGAAAATTTTATGGTTTAGGATTTTGTTGCAATTGATTCCACCCTCAGTTGATTTGAGAAAACCATATATGTGCTTGATGGAACAACAACAACTATCTTCATTATGAACTTCCTCCTTGAAGAATAACATCTCCATAAACTGAAGAACCTCAATCGCCTCCGCAACCATTTTCACCATCAACCTTTATTGAAACCCTCATGCTCCAAAGTCTATGGGACGAGAACTCAACGAAAAACATCCTTCCTTTGCTAGGCTTTATTCTTTCTGCCGCTGTCGATGAGCCTCTATTTCTCTCCGCTATTGTTGAATATGTGAAGTCTCCGCCACTTCGTCCGGCAAACAACCCAGCAAGAGGAGAATGAATTTGGTGGATGTGTCACTCTTGAGGAAGGTGGCGGCATTACTACTTCGTTGTTCGCCATCTCCGATGAAAATCGGATTTCCTCCACCACCACAAGGAGGGACAAGCAACTGGAGACAAAACCATTTGTCAGTTATAATTGAATTTTTGATCATCACAATTAATAAAAATTACAATTTATATTTTACAATTAATTTTTAAAATCAATAATATTTTTAATCTGACTTGACATGACATGACATGGCAACTGAGAGTTTACATGGGTGCTGAGGTGGTGTCCACCTAATCTTACTGTTGACGACGTTAACAGAATCTAACTACGTCAATATTTTTAACAGAAAAGATAAATTTTTCCTATATTTTTAAATATGGTTATTTGTCTGTATTTTTTTAAAAAATGGCTATTATTGCCCAAATGTGGATAGTTTAAGTTAAGAAATTGACCAAACATATGTATGTGCCATAAGCAGATAAATGCAAATCCAAGTCACCAAAGCCACAGTTCGGTTACCATGGTTGCTTGTGTAGGCTCGAACCTTTCAATTAGCCCTTATCTCTAAATTTAAGGATTTACTTATTACTAATATAGTTTAAGCTTCTTGTTTGTTACATCACTTGTTTCACTCTGATACTACCATAAATTGGGTCGATGCATAGGAAATGACTATATTTCCATAGTATTCAGTATATCAAACAAAAGTATACAAGATAAAAATTAATAAACTGAGTAAATTAAGTCTACATAGCTTGACTTACTCCAACCCATCCACTCAAATTTAGTCTTCATCCTTCCAAATACGTAAACTTAGGTCCTGTTCACTTTCAATTTCGTTTTCTGTTTTTTGTTGTCAAAACAGAAAATTTAAAAACAAAGGGAGAAAACGTGTTCACTTTGGTTTTCGTTTTCGTTTGTGGCAACCATTTGACAATAAAAAGAGGCAGCTGACGAAAACAAAAAAAATGGTTTCCAGGAAAGAAGGGGACGGGTTTCATCCCGTTTTCTCCGAAAAGTTTTAATGAGGTCTGCTCTTCAAGACCTAGCAACCTCACTTTATCTTTTTTTTTTGTTGTTTTTGGTTTGAAGACTCATTAGTCATTATCCCTGGCCTCCTCCCTGCTTAACCCTACTCGTCCCCTGCCCTCAGCCCCTCACCACCTCTGAACGAAGAGGGCTGAACGAAGACAGCCGCCGCCTCCACGCCTCTTCTTCTCCCGCCGCCACCGCCACGCCGCCGCCACGCCACTCCTCTTCTTCTCCCGACGCCGACGACGCCTCTTCTTCTCCCGCCGCCACCGCCACGCCGCCGCCGCGCCACTCCTCTTCTTCTCCCGACGCCGACGACGCCTCTTCTTCTCCCGCCGCCACCGCCACGCCGCCGCCGCCGCCGCCACGCCACTCCTCTTCTTCTCCCGACGCCGACGACGCCTCTTCTTCTGGTTAAGAGCTTCCGACGACGCCGACGACGCAAGGTATCTATCCCGTTTCTCCCTCTCGTCTTCTTTCTCCCTGATTCGCAAGGTATCTATCCTGTTTCGCAGCCGATCTCGAAACAGCCATTTTTTGGCTCTCTCTGTTTCACGTCTCTAATGACATGGGATATTCCAGATCTGAGATTTTTTTTTTTCTCCTTTGGAATTGATTATATCAGTGGTTTTGACTTGATCTGTTGATCATGTTCGAACGTCATGGGTTCTGCTCTTTATGAGGAAATGTTTGAACTTTAGGCAGTGGGTTTGTAGTTTGCTCATTATTAGATACCGAAGTTGTTTGTTTGTTGATTGTCATGTTGATTGTTTGCTGATTGTCATGTTGATTTTTTGTTTATTGTCATGTTTGTTCTATAGTTTGATCCATGGAGAATACAGAAGCTGTCAATGATAATAATTGTGTGGTGGTAGAGGGAAAAGATGTATGGCCCGAACATGTTAAGAATTATATGATTGAATTGATGGTCGAGGAAGTGAAGAAGGGTAGCAAGATTACTACTACATTCACAAAATTAGGATGGTTCAATATAAAAAATGGTTTAAAGAGTAAGTTTAACAAGGACTATACTGAGGAGCAATTGAAGAACAAATTTAATCTACTTAGAAGAAGGCATAGGGATTTCAAGGGCATGATTAGTGAGACGGGAGTTAGTTTCATTGCTGCAACGGGAAAGGTGGCCGCTTCTGATGATCGTTGGGAGAAATGGTCGAAGCAGGTAATTGAACATTTCGTTCAATTTCATTAAATATATGTTTCAATTTTGAACTTAGAATTGATTAGAACGTTCATGTGTAGGCTATAAAAGGTATTACCGGCTTTAGGAAGAATGGTTGTCCAGAATACAACAACCTTTGCATCCTATTTGGTGACACTACTGCTTCCGGTACCAATGCTTTTGTTTCCACTCAAGAAGTCTCAGATAGCAGTGGTGGACAAAGCAGAGAGGACAATGAGGAAGGTTTTGTTGTTGCCGGTGATGCTACAGAGCATGCCAAGGAAGCAGAGGGCAAAGCAAAGGTCAAAGGCAAGAAGAGGAAAGCAAACAAATCCACCTATTCAACTGCGGTAGAGAAGGCAATAATTAGCATGGCGGAGGAGGCTAAAAGGAAGAATGATAGGCATGATGCCAAGACTGCTGCATCTTCTGTGAAAGGCCCAATGAATGAAGTATCTTCGCAGGACAAGGACCTAGATATTATGACAGAGTGTATGAAGGTTTTAGATGAGATGGAGGTGGATGGTAGTGTGTTTGTCAAGGCTATTGATGTTCTTCATGATAATCCACTGAAGCGTGGTCTCTTTCTGCGCATGACAGAGAAGAGAAAGAAGGAATGGCTGCAGGGTTTGGTGTGATTGTACGACGCCGACATTGAGTGTTTTTGTTTGATTGTTTGTGTTTGAATGTTTGTGGTTGTATTTTTAGTTGAACAATGTTGTTGAGTTGAATATGTGTGTGATTGTGGGTGTATGTTTTAGTTGAACGATTATCTTATTATGGTGTAAGAACAATTTCAATAAAGTTTGATTGTATGTTCTTATTGTGCAATGCAGACAAATGGCTTCTGATTCCGATACAGATTCCGATGATGATTTGCAGAACTTCTTGTTGCATTTGTGGTTTTTGGAGAGAGAGAGATCCAATGTGTCAAAAGTGCCATGCAGAACCTCAGACAAAACTGGGCATGCTTGGGTTAAAGAGCTTCTTCATGGTAATCCAAAAAGGATATATGAGCAATTTCGGATGGACAAAGATACGTTTCTTGCTCTTTGTGAGGAGTTGAAACAAAATGGTGGGTTAATAGCCACGAAGAGAGTCACAGTTGAAGAACAAGTTGGCATCTTCCTGAAGACTATAGGTCACACTAATGATTTTA